AAAAAGTTAGTTAAGGGAACCACTAAGTTCCTGCTGTAACCTGGCACATACTGTAATGAAAGCATCTGTGATCTTTTTAAAGGAATACCAGATATTTGTAAGATAGCTAACTTCAAGGGAGAATAATAATAACATCATTTTCATTAGAATTATGATAGTTTTTAGCTTATGATACAGTGACCATCAATCATATGGATATAATGTCCTGAGAAGAAATGCATTGTTTTTCTTCCTATATAATGCCATATTTTCTCAGTATGTAACAGGAATTTTGATGATTGATAATAAGATAGTTGAGACAAAGCTACTCTGAGATATAATATATATATATATATATATATACAAGTACTCTAGTTTCGCTCGGATGATAAGGTTGATTTATTCTAGATGACTATGTCAGTGTGTGTATTCTGAACCCATTTCAGCAGAAAAGCATAACCTATATACTTTTGTTACTCCTTTACAGGATGTGGCCTGTTTATAAAGGTAACCTTCCCTATGACTTGTCCTCCAATTTTAAAATTAAATAATAAAAAATAAACCTTTTTAATTAGTGGAGCCTAGCCTCTAAATTAGAAAACAACAAATATTTTTTAAATTTTGTAGTTTATACATTTCATTTTATACTTTCAGCACATAGCCTCTTAACAATAATATTATGTTATATTTCATTGCTAAGCAACATGATACAAAAGCCATTGTTGGAATGCATTGTTACCAAAATGCACTGGCTTTTATACATATTAAAAGTTGTTATATAAGGAGTCACTTCTTTTCTATGTGGTTTTTTGCTAGATTGCCTAATTAAAAAGATGCACATGCATGCACACACAATGTGTGTCTGTCTGTAATTTATATCTACAATTTTTAATATAAGGAACCACTTCTTTACCATGTGGTTTTTCACTTGCTTGCCTCATTAAAAACATGTGCATGTGCATGCACGTGGATAAGATAAGTAATACTATCCTGGTGCACATCCTCAAAGTACAATTAGTATGGGTGCAAAATTTCAGATTTCTAGGTTCTTTCATCTTGGAGATATGGCAGTCACATTTCTTTTCTATGTGTTTTTTGCATAAAAATATTTGCACACACACATAGGTAAGTAATAATACCCAGGTGCAAACCCTCAGGGTCCAATTAGTATGGGAGCAAAATTTCAGGTTTTCAGGTTCTTTTCTCTTGGAGCTATGGTGGTCACACACATACACAGACATGCATGTGAGCATGCACACAACTGTGATTTCTATTTCTAAATTTCAGGTTTCTAGGTTATTTCATATTGAAGCTATGGTGGTCACACATGCACACAACTGTGGTTTCTATTTGTCAATTTTTTTATGATTTCTATTTCAAAATTTCAGGTTTCTAGTTCTTTCATCTTGGAACTGGTGTTCACACATGCACAGACATGCACACAACTGTGATTTCTATTTGTCAATTTTTTTGTGATTTCTCTTTCAAAATTTCAGGTTTCTAGGTTCTTTCCTCTTGGAGCTATGGTGGTCACACATACACAGACATGCAAGTGAGCACTCACACAGCTGTGATTTCTATTTTTCAATTTTGTTTGTGATTGCTATTTCTAAATTTCAGGTTCCTAGGTTCTTTCATCTTGGAGCTATGGTGGTCACACATGCACATAACTGTGATTTCTATTTGTCAATTTTTTTGTGATTTCTATTTCAAAATTTCAGGTTTCTAGGTTCTTTCCCCTTTGAGCTATGGTGGTCACACATACACAGACATGCAAGTGAGGATGCACACAGCTGTGATTTCTACTCTTCAATTTTTTTGTGATTTCTATTTCTAAATTTCAGGTTCCCAGGTTCTTTCATCTTGGAGTTATGGTGGCCACACATACACCCACAGGCCTTTATTTTTATAGATATATCCAGTATAGGTCATACAATACACCAGCCCTTTAAGCTTTTTATCTTACTTGTGAATGATATATTATGTCCAGTCTCTTTCCTTGCTTCAGATTCAATCAGAATTAAAAGAATTCAAGTTTTGTTCCACCAAATGTTTTCTGGCAGATTTACAGTTATTCTGTACCTTCAACTGAGAATACCACAGAGTAGGTAGGGAGGAAAAAATCTGGAGCTGTGACTGCAGGATTTGTTACTGCAGTGTCTGCTTTTCTTTTGGGTTATTAAGTTTAAGCTTTATAATTGAGATAATTCTATTTTTCACAAGTTGAAGGACCCATGATCAAGAGGAAGATTTAGGCAATAACAAGTGAAAACTGGGAGGAAGAGCCATTGGGCCTAAGAGAAGTTCTATCCTGGACATTAGATTTACTCTAATGCTGTAAAAGTCCATGATGTCTTTCTCACTGTTGTCACAGATTCAGGAAGAGAACTGCTAGAATCTGGTCCAGCCAGAATATCCAATTAGATAACCTCCCTAAGGTTTAACACCAATGCAAAGGAAACAGAAACAACTGAGGCTAACCATGGTGGTAACCAGTCTGGGATGTTTGAGACCAAACGGGGTTGTCAAGACTACAAGTAACTGGCCAAGAGAGACTGGAGGTGCCTTTGGTTGATGATTTGCACCAGTAAAGTATGTTTTTCTAGCAGGTGAGATACTGGGCATAGACTGAAGAAGATGGTGATCTGTGGGGCAGAACTGAGTTTCTCCATGCCAGGTGGTGTACTTTCAAGGCAGCAAAGGGTTGTAAAGAAGCTCAAACTCAAACAAAGCTAATGGACAAGTTACCTTCAGTGACTTGCTGTTTTACAACAATACAGGGATCTAACACTCATCTGAGTCCCTGTACAAGCCCATTCCACAATATCCCCTGATATTAGGACTTCTTAGCCAAGAATCCACGAGTAAGTGGTTTTCACCAAAACTACAAGTAACTGTGATAAAGGCTAAATATATATCACCCTAACATTTAAGGGTATAACAAAAGAGAATCTGGACCACTTCTTAAAAGTTTTTTAGGTTGGTTAATGTCTGGTATAACAAAAAAGGATCTGGATTACTTCTTTAAAGCTTTTTAGGTTGGTTAATGTCTGATATAACAAAAAAGGATCTGAATTACTTCTTAAAAGCTTTTTAGGTTGGTTAATGTCTAGAACAGCTGGACTCTGGAACAAGTAATCAATTGTCTAACCTCAAGTTTGGATGGTCCAGCCCTCAATCTATCAAGCAATTAAGCAAAGCTCCAGCTTTTCTGCAGCTCCAACATGATTATTGAAAAATAAGTCTGTGAAACCAAGAATATCACAGTGATAATATACTTAATAATTTTTTTTCAGGTTTTAACATTTATTCTTTTCCAACCTAAACCTGTTATGTTTCCATGCCTGACTTTAATCATGTCTTACCCAATTTTTGAGATTTATGTCTAACTTGCATCTTGAGTTTCAACACTACCACTAGTTTCATAGTTGAGAGTAAAATTATCATCAGACTTCAAGCAAACTGTAAATATGACACATCCAAATACCTCATAATTTTTGTACTTTTAGATTATATTGTCCTCAATTAACATTTCATTCATCTTATGCTTAACATTTTCATGTTAAGACTAAAAATACTTCTTTTCATCTCAAAAAACTCAAATTTCTTTTGCGTAATCACTAAAACCTCCTAAGTACATTTCAAACACTTGTTTTCAGTAAAATTTTATATTTTGTTTACCCTAGCTTTACACAAGGATGGTTAATTTTGAATGACCTCGTAACTGCGGAAAAAAGAAACAAATCTAAATTGCCTTTTTTTCTTTCTATGATGACTAAAAATTGTAATAGGAAGCTACAGTTGTTTATCCTCAATAGTTAAAGCTTATAACAGTATACATCTGTTTCTACTTACATTTTATTGCCCTTTGAACCATGCCTAACTAATAGTCCCACCACACAAGTTGTAAGTCACTCCACAAATATATAGCTCACATTACCATATTGAGTTATGTAGTGCATACCCCATAAAAAAATTATTGTTCTTATTCTTAATTTTACCTTATCTAAGTTTCTGATTTGTACATTTTAGTAACTTTTATAATAATAAATAAAGAATACACATGAAAAACAAGAAATGTAGTACTTACCTAGTAAGTCTTCTTGTTTTTTTCTGTTGACTGTTGAGGAAACTAAAGCCTACATTTTTATACTAATGGTACTACAACACTAAATAATTTTATTGAATTAAATAAAGCACCTAAAAGCAGAGAAAAATAAGTTGCACAAAGCAAATAATGTCCTATAACTACAATAATTCTATGGAATAAAAGCCTTTCAAAATTCGGCTAAGCTTGCTGATGTCATTCCCATGAGGATAAAGTTTTGAACTAGAGGCAAAATAGCCAAAACTGTACAGAAAACAATGGAATATAATATGTCATTTTACAGAGTAAAACTCTGGTTTTCTATTGGTTAAAAATAGTATAGTATTAAATTGGTTTTCTATTGGTTAAAAATAGTATAGTATTAAATTGGTTTTCTATTGGTTAAAAATAGTATAGTATTAAACTGGTTTTTTATTGGTTAAAAATAGTATAGTATTAAATTGGTTTTCTATTGGTTAAAAATAGTATAGTATTAAACATCAAAGAAGGGCATGGCAAGTGGGTCTGATTTTATAGTTTATGGTTCTATATACAAACAGGATTGAAGAGTATAAAAATTATGCTTTGCCTGAGTAATATCTGTATTATAATGAGTAATTTATAATGAATTTCATACTTCTCAGATGGATGATAAATAAATTAGAGACAAGCGAAGACGTACCTAGAGAAAAAATGTCACAATTCTCACACTAGAGGAGATTGAGGATTTTTTAAAATCTTTCCTTATAAAGTTAAGAACTTAAAACTTATATAATTTATTAAAATTAGATTTATTAACTACATTTTGATGCCAAGTTTATTTGTATATAATGATAATAAAGTAGTTTAATTAGATTTTGAATATAATTCTAAAAAGTAATATCATGCACACTTTGATCTGTCTATAGCATAAGAGTTAATGTAAGACACCTACTCCTGCTATATAATATCCATAGTCTGCTATCAGAATAATAGGTGTAGTTAAACGGTTGTGTTTGATGTGGTACTCTTCAGGAATGTCTTCTTTTTTGTACACATGAAGTCCATCTATTTTTGTTTTCATTAAGGCTTCATATACCTGAGAAAGAATTACAATGAGGTAGTTTTAAGCATTAAAAACTTTTTTTATTGATACATTACTGAAAGACACACTGTTTACTTTTGTTCATTCTGACAGTCATAAAACATATATACTCAGTTCAACCACTGTACAGCAATTTCCATTTCAAAATAATTTTATGTTTGGCTAAAAACACTGTTGTGTATTAAAATTTTTTTAGGCACTTACTACTACTTTAGCTAAGGTGATAGTTTTCATTTATCGTTTATGAATTACTCATTTTGAAGTAATTTTTTTATACTATATTTGTCAAATAACAATAACAAAAGGAACAGCTAGTAATTCAATTGTTTCAAATAATTTATTTTATGTCATTCATGTAAATAAAGGTAATCTTTGATTACAAATGATAAAAAACCTTCAGTTCATTTCATGACTTCTATAGATATTATTTTAAAATAATATATTCAAAACAAGTCAAACGTATGTACAAAATTTCTTTACACTATAAGAAATCAGTTTTCTTCAAAACTCTAAATAATTCTCTTTTCTTGTTGAAATTCTACTCAGGCTGATTCAATTACATTAGAATTCAATTGACAAGACGAAATATTTCTCTATACTCTTATCAGTAAATAATTCACTTATGTTACCCTGTGAGTTAACACAGCTGTATCTCGAACTTTAAATACCTGTCTCCTTTTCGTCAATGTCCACACATATGGGTTCAATTACTTTAGAACATCCTTTGACAAGATAAATTATTCTTCTTACTCTATTCAACTGTGAAGCTCGTTTAAAAATATTGCCCATTACAGCTAATCACCCACACACTGGCTAACTTCACGTTTTCTTTCGCTAACTAATTTTCTGACTGAACTGCACTTTACTTCACTTTTACTCTACTTCTTAACTTTTACTTGCTTGGTTGCCTATATTTATACATTGTTCACTGAGACCTCGAACTTTCTATAAACTATGCAAGCGGCACTTTAATGTAACAATACTCAGTTATGGTAACAAGAAAAATACTGAAGAATCGAGTAACTTGACATCAACAATATTAGTAAAGCCTAGACAACAATGTAATTGCAAACACAACATAAGACTTGTACAGAGTTACGTAACAAAATTTGTCACAACTAACACTTTTAAAACAACCCATCTTAAACACTCCTGTCTTAAAAACTACACAATCATTAAATATTAAGTCACAAAATAAACTAAATAATAACACCTACACTAAACAGACTTGTATATTCAACAGCTGTAATGAGAATGACCTGTCATGTGAGTATTACCGGTCACACTATGTAAATACAAGGTTTCTTGGAAACTAAGGAAGCTGACACTTGGACAGTTTGAGATATGATTTCAATTTAAATGGTTGATTATAGAAGAACCAGTTGAAAGGAATCATCTGGTGTAAAAACTACAAGTACATACACTGTGTTTATCTTACATTATATAATAAAGATTGTGCATTTTGTTCTATAATTGTGTCCAGTTTCATTTTTCTGTTTAATATGAACTCAGTTAAGTAAGTTTTAGTAATACTCCATAATCAATATCTTGAACAACTATACAATTACTTAACAAATCTACCAAATAACTCTAACTCTACTAAATCTAATAATTCAGTTCACTTGAATACACCATAGAGTGGATAGAAAGGTGAAAATATTAGTGCCACGACTACAGGATATCGTTAATGCAGTTTGCTATTAGCTGCTGAGGTGTTCACTGCCCTTTACTTGAACTCTCATGTTATTAAAATTAAAAAGGCTTCTAGTTAGCAAAATGGTACTTTCAAGAACTAGAAGGACTTATGACCTAGAGGGTTAATGGCAGAATATGTTGATGTATTTAGGGGATATGATGGCTAAACGAGTCAAAGCACAGTCCCACATCACACAGATAAATGTGACACATATCCAATTAAACAACTGCAGCACAGACATTCCTGGAGCACTGTGGAAGTTGCTACTACTGAAATAAAGTGTACATTAAATGACAAATTCATAATGTCTTTAGAAAATGCTTGGTTATCTCCAGTAGTGATTGTGAGAAAGTAGGAAGGTATGCCCAGGTTTTGTACTGGTTTCAGATGGGTGAATGTGGTGACTCATCTTGATTCCTTTCCATTACCATGAAAAGATGAATGTATGGATGCCTTTGACCCTGGCAACTCGATACTGGCAAGTCAATCTGGATGATAAGAGTAGACCCACAATTGCATTTAGCATGAGAGATGGCTTATGCAAGCTTCGTGTTATGGCATTCAGCCTGTGTAACTCTGCTGCTATCTTTGAGAGGTTAATGGGGCTTACACTGAAAAAGCTGCAATGGAAGAAGTGCCTGATCTACATTGATCACATTTTGGTATTTGGTTGAACATTTGAATCTGTGTCTGAGAACCTGAAAATGGTATTCCAGTAGATAAGAAGGCAGCCTTGAATCTGAAACCTGGAAGAAATGTGCTTATATGCTCTGAAGTGGATTTTCTCAGTAATATTGTAGGTAGAGAAATAATTTCCATGGATCATCCTAAAATAGCAATGGTGTGAAATTGACCTCAAACTGTGTTCAAACAAGAAGTCCACAGTTTCCTTGATTTTTACATTGTATTTTGATGGTTTGTGGCTAAAATTGTCTCATTATTATTGGCTCTTATACTAAGGCAGAAATGCATTTCAGATTGAATGAGAATGCAAGCAAGCATATCTATAAGAGGATTGTGAATTCCTACTTGACACTAACATGAGTGATAATGGAATTGGAGCAGTGTTATTGCAGTTGCAGGAAAGAGTAGAACATGTAATTGTATATAATAGTCACACGCTTATGACATGTAAAGAACCGCTTGTGGCTGTTGTCTTCTTGAAACACTTCTGGTAATACTTGTATGTTAGAAAATACTGTGCTTGAGTGGACTATGCATCATTAAAATGGTGAACTGATTGATGAACTTTCAAAACCCCAGAAGGATGGTAACACACTGGATAACAGCATTGTAAGAGTATGATTTAATCATTAATTACTGCCCATGCCTATAACAAGGAAATTCAGATGGACTGTCTTGCCAGATGGAGAGACACTATAAATTCACTGAATGTTTGGATTCTGGCCACTGTGGGGGGAATTAAAGAGTACTTCTGCTATAACAACAAGCCATGCCATAGGGGATTCCAAGAACAGATTGATGCCACAATTAATGCTTCTGAGGGACCCAAATCTATTGTTTGTGTTCCTTCCCATACAGCAGAATAAAGCTTGTCCAGCTGATATTGAGGAACATGACATGGATGACCATAGCCTATGGCTCTTGTACACTCAGTTACTAGTGCACAAAGATGTTCTATACCATTGCTACCAATGAGCAGTGGTTCTTAGCCTGTTTTATAGCTAGTTGTCACCAGAGGCACAAGCTTCTCCAGATTTTGCCTAAAATAAAGCCTAAAAGGGGCACCATGGTGATACACAAACTTGTACTAATGTATGACAGTAGTTCTTTTGGACAATTTCAATCAAGACATTCAGTGCTGGTATAAACATTGTATGGTGTTTGCCACCCAGAGAAAATGTCACCCAAAACAGGGTAAACTCCAAGAAAAAAATTTGTTGTTTTCTACAGAGAAAAGCCCTGGATATCACTAGTCCAAAACCAGAAACATACAGAGGTCACCTCTATATACTCATGAGGCAAGGCTTATCCTTTCATTGATACATCTAACAGTCTACAGCTGCTGCACTGGCAAAGCACTGGATAGCCTGGTTTGGAGCACCTGAAGAGACCCACATAGATCAGGGAGCTAGCTTTAACAACCAACTGTTCTTTGAGTTGTGTAAACTGTTAAGTAGGGTGAAGAAGCACACTTCTCCTTATCATCCCTAGTCTAATGGTTAGTGAAAACAGTGATACAGACTGTCAGGTGCACACTTGCTAAGACTGGTAATCCAGACCAAATTGACTTATGTCAAGATGGTGTATCACATAACTGCAGAGACATATACAGGTTTTGCTTCCTGGTGATATGATGTACAGTTTTCCACCCATAGTGTATGTCCCACAGTGTCCACATGAATATGTGGAGTGGTTAAGGTCTGCATTAGTTGATGCTGGATTGGACCCCATCTTGTGATTACACTAGTCAGTCCATTAATTTACAGCAGTCAAAATGACTGAGCACCTGATTATTGAAAGGAAATGGTAATTCTTACTTTTCAAGCAATAAAATTATGTTCACAATACAATGTATGTGATATATTATGTGATTCCAATCAATTACCACAAAACTAAAATGGCTGATGCTAGTAAACATAATAATGCCTAGTGTGTTAACAGTTTATACAAATGGAAATGATAGTTAGGAGTTCCAAAATCAGCTGAAAGGGTGTTGCAACTTTTGCTTTCTGAGCTATCAGGTAACACTGTAAATTATAGTGTATGTGCTACAATGTACAATTACCATTCAATCAACTGCAGTTAGAACAGTTTGCAAGATTAATTGGATCAAAATGGCTTTGTAACCCTTACTTTCTGAGCTATTGAGCAGAATTTCACTGTAAGATATATCCATGGGATATTGGATGATAGCTGCACAATTAACCATATGGTTACAGTTTGTACCCATTTGGCTTAATTCTTGTATGAAGAATGATACACAGTTCAACAATAGAAGCTTTCTAAATGTATCTTCACAACAATTGGTAAGATTCTGTTAAAGATTACAAGTATTTTGTACACAAAGAATGAGATTATTTTAATTAAGTATTTTAACTAAAGACTTATTATTTTTATATTGTAGTTATTTGCACTCTGACTCTGAATATTTCAAGTATTATCATCAATGTATAGTGCAATGAAATGTTTGAAATTAAGAAATAGAAAAAATGTACATAACTTTTAATTTTTTGTCGAATAATCTTAAAAAATCTTTTGGATATATTCTTAATTTCATGTCTTTACATTTTCACATGTAGTTTATTTTTTAATGTTTTATTTTCCTTTCCTGTCCTTCAACATTATTTTTCATTGCAACACACATCAATGGGAGTCCTCAGGCAATATTACAGTATTATCGGTAGAGACACTTTAGGCTTCTGTAGAATGTAACAGCACTTATATACTACATTAAGCCTCATGAACAAAGGAAAATTTGGGTTGATTTTAAAAAATGACTAAACCTTTCTAATATGTCATTTTAAAATACAAATAAATAATTAGCTAAAATATAAAACTAAACCCTAATTACAATTTAATTGTCTACCTAACTAACAAATTTCAAGGTGAGAAACAATGCTAAGTGCTAGCAAGGACATAAACAGCAACAAAACTGAGAGCGAATTCAAGAACTTGTATGGAATTCTGCAAGACAATTTGAAAATAACCAATGGATAATTGTAGTTTAAAATGAGCTCTTTCTAATGGTTATAAACATCTACAGAAATACTCAGCATTGAGTGCTAAATTGTATGACTATGTGCAGAAAATGGGTATGGCTTCTGTCAAGAGTTCCTAAGAGATTTATTTTTCCTTTCTTGGAACTTCCCTAAGGAATTTGAAGGAAGGATGTGTAAATAGAGTAATTAACCTAGTTTCTGCCTATACATTAAGGTCCAGTCTATGAAAAGAATTACTTAAGTTACAAAGACTGAAAGCTAAGACTTGTAAATGTTTGTACATCATTGGACAACAAAACGGAAGATTAATAGTTTTTTTTTAAAGTTTCTTTTAAAATCAAGAAATTAAACCATAAATAATATAAAACATTGAATTATAACATATGTTACAATACTAATTTCACTGACATACATTGATAGTACAGTTACTTAATTAAATTTTGAACGTAACTCAGTAAAACCTCATGACAAATGCAGAATGGAGACCAGTAACCATAGGGTTAATACAGCTTACAGTAGATATAATACATTATGCATTGACAGTTTGCACAACTGAATAATATACATACGAGTTCAAAAACATAGGGGTTTGCAATTCTTGCTTTATGAGTGATGTTTGTGAGGCAAATTGAAAAGTTTTACAAGGATCATCACCTGATCTAGCAGAGTAGCATGAGCTCCATGGAGAATACCATATAATCTTTACTGGATAATTGTTACTGGTACACCTCAAAATAAAATGTAGACTTGTACTTTGTTTGAGTGTATATTGATATATTCTCCAATAATTAATCCTGACTTAAGAAAAATTGTAGCTAAATAGTCTTTGTTGGGATGAGCTCGATCAGTGATTATTTATTTTGTGATGCTTTAGATTGACAGCTCACAGGTGGCAGCACTTAATAGACAATAGCTACAAACAGTTGCTTCAGATAGTAGCTTGAAACAGATAGTATGTAATTTCAGTGGAAGCCAAAGGCAACTATTAATGTCTGTGATTGTGTATAATGGATATATATATATACATACATGTGTGTGGTTTCACACATGTATTAATGTTACACAACATCATACACAAGTGTTATATAACATGAATGAATAAACATAATTATTAAGCCACATGTGAATGGAAATGAAGAATTTGATTAGGGAGTTAAGACTTTGTGGTATGAAGTTAACTGTGATTACTGACCTTTAAGGTATTTTTGAACATACAATGTACCTGTTATTTGCATTAACAATGGAAAAAAAAATGTTTCAATTTTGACACTGGAATTTTCAGCAGGTAATAAATTTTCATGTCAGTAAAACAGTAAGAACGACTCGCACTACATCTGAGAGAATACACAGTTTTATCTGTTGTATTTTTGGTGTAGTGTAAGATACTCTCATTGTGTCAAATTGAAATGTTTGAGTAAGTGAGATTATCAGTAGCATGTAATGTTCACAGAAAGTATCTTAAATGTCATAACAAATATACAATTGGTGGAACCAGTACTTTACCTGATTGTAACAGAATATTTTCAGTCATAATTGAAGTATTTAATAAATCAAACAGTTTCCTAAATATTTTCTTAACGTTATTTCAGTACAAGGAACAGTTTAAGATACAGAACAATGCAGGCTGCAAATGTACTAGGGAGAGAAGGAAAGTAAGAAGTCTTGTTTCTGGCTTGAAAATAAATATTTGCTCAAAATGTCACCAAAAAGAGAAATATTTTTAAGATAATTTGTCCCCAAATGCTCAATTTCTTTGTCACATACACATTTTCTCTCCCTGTGTGTATGTATGTGTTTATATATATATATATATATATTGTACAAAAAGTTATTAAATTTCAGTTACATTGATCTCCTTTTATTTCATGTATCATCTGACTGAACATACAATAAAGCATCAGAAGCATACTGGAATAAGCAAATGACATGTTACATATTAACTAATAACCAAAGTTATGTATATACTTGATTCCAGAAATAGTGCAACGGGATAATGCAATAGGGTTTTGTGTGCTGTGATGATAATTAGTGTCAAGTACATAAGTACCTGATAATAACAAAAGCTTGTCAAAACATCATGCATTTGTTACTTGTAATAAAATCTCTTTCATTCCCCCATTCAAGCTGTCATCAAGTGGGTTCCTCATCATCAAATAACAATATCTATTATAGTATTAATTTTAGAAATTTCATTGTTTTTCAACAACTCAACAGAGTACCTAGGACATCCTGTATAGCAGAATGTTAATGTTCATATAGTTAATATTAATAATATTCAATAACCTCTATGTAAAAATGTGGTCAATATACCTTTTAACTACAGTACACTCAGAAAACAGCTTCTATAGAAATTACAATAAAAACATCAGTTATTCTGTAAATTGAGAAACTGTCAAAATTAAATTATATTTAAATATGACTAAAACTTCAGGGGTTTTGAAAAACAATCACCATAACTTACAGTCCAGTTTATATGTTTTGGTATCAAAAGTGAGTTATTTTTCAGCTCAGTATAGAACTCGAAATATTCTACAGTAGAATAATCAAGGCGGGTTTAATCCAGACAAACTTACAGCCCTATAAAGATTAGTTATTAAAAATTTCAAAAAGAGATAGAAAATATTCCAAATATCAAATACCCATGTAAGACAATAATAGCTTATTCACCTTATCTTCCTGTCCTTCTGTTGGAATTATCATACTTGAAGCTCCAGAATAAATCATGAATTTCAAGTCCTGAAGGTCAATGGTGTCACTGATATTGATCACTTTTAAGCCTTTAGTAGGATCAGTGGAAGTCATTCCATGGTCTGATACAATAACCAAGTTAACCTAAATGCAAACCAATGATACTATATGGGTAATTAAAACTTCTATGCTCATTAAACAATAAACACTATTTGATTGTATAGTTACAACATTA